TTTTCTTCAGTTTTTTTTTTTTTTTTTTTTTTTTTTTTTTTTTCGAAAAATACATAGTACTAAAATTGCGCACATCTAGAACATGCTGGAAAGCATCATGATATCACGTTGTGTTTGCTAGTGTGATGTGTCACAGTTCGGTCACGGTAACTCCCCACCGCACGTCTTGTCTTTGGCATTCATGAGCCGCCCCAGCTCGCCTGATGTGCTCGACCAAATTCGGTCTATAGACTCCATATGCGCAGAATGGACTCAAGTGTCGTGGACCGGCCCTCAGACGACCGGGCGAGAGCAAGATGTTGGCTGCCTTCAATGAAGTACAACGCCTCGCTTCTGCTCTGGTAGCTACCCTTGAGGAAGAACGACGTCGACAGGTGTCTCTTCTTGGGGTTCTTCCTCCGTGTCCGCATTTTTGACCACTCATAGGACGCGGGTCCCTTGGCTTCTCGCAGTACCGCCCCTATGATGAAACCAATGACGACTCGCACTCGGACTCCGATATCCAGGCTCCTGCAAGGAAAAAGCGCAAGAAGGCTCGTTCTTTTCGTGCTGCATCCCACCTCCATCGCTTACCTGCACCAACAGGCTGTGACTGGAGAAGAACGAATGGATTCAATGGAAGCCGCTCGGAGCTTTCTTCGAGAGTCCGTTTTCCCTAATCTTGTTTTGCAATCCACCATATCTCTCGATACTCTCGTCGATTATATCAGCCATCAAGGGTATCCTCTCAGAAGGCGCATGGACCAAGCAAAGTTTTTGAAAGAAATCATGCGAGGTTTTGCGTTGCCTGCGGAAGAGGAGTCAATGGTGAGGCCGAGGACCGTGACGTTTGAGTCCCCAGACCTCAACATCCAAATTAACAATTGCCAGTCATCCCTTTTGCTCGCCGCCGGCCTCGAGAAAACTCACCTTCAAGCGACAGTTGCGACATTCAACTTGCTATGTCAGGCACCGGCCGCACCGCCGCCGCCGCCGGTGGCAGCTTCAAGTTCCGATAACGACCCCCAAGTCGATTTGTTCGCGGAAAAAGAGAAGGTATGCGTGCCACTTATACTCTTCCCTCAGACGGTACCTAGATGTTGCACCTTTGGCAGTGTGCCTGAATACTATTGATGCTAATAATAATGATCCCTTCACAGTGTCTGGACGAGTTGCAGATCAAGCATCGATAGCTACATCCAAACTCGCCTGATTCTTATGCGGGCTCTAAGTATCAGTACAGCGCGAGTGGGAGTCGATGACGGACGCCCAGCGTCGTCTCCACAACCAAAACCTTTACATTGCTGCTCACCCTGCGGAATTCCACGGCTTGTCTGAGGACCCTGACGCCAGAAACAAGAAACTCAAAGAAACATCCAAAATTAAGCGGCTCTGGATTAGGCGTGAACGAGAGAACAAAGTCGCCGCCCGTGGCCACGCGTATAAGCTTTACTTAGTGGCAAGTCTTTCTCCCCTCAAGCTTGAGTCCTTGTTTGTAACAATATTGAATGCCGACTCGTCACAGTTCGGGTTTTCGCTGATTCTCCACCCCGCTGCGGCCCTTCATCGATTCGGTTTCTCCGCCCGAAGTTTCACACCCATCTTGGAGCAGATCGGCAGTGTTCTGGCGGAGGACGTCTCGTTGCGCGCCAATATCGAGAGGCGCGCCAGCGCTGGGCAAAAGCTTCTGGATCGGTTGATATCGGTGTTGTTCACGCAGGAGACAGGCGAGCCCATCCGCATGTTCATAAAAAAATTTCAAGAGGACTTTCCCAGTCCCCAGCACTGATTCTCTTCCGTAACGTATTCGATCTCTGTAGCTTGTTCCTCCGAATAGTACATCTCATCTGCTCCTGTCTCTTAGAGCTACTCCGGCAGCGGTTGATACGATACAATACGATACGATACAATACATTTGATGCATCACGACAGCGTGACCCGAGTGACACTTCCGCGTATTTTTGCCTCTTTCTGCTCTTCTGGGGCCATTCTGTGCTGGTTTGGACATGGCTAGGGGGGAGCAAACATGCAACTGGACTGCAGACCCTCAAGACACTGCACGGACCATCGAATTTATGACCCAAAACCACTCACGGCTTGGCCAAGGCGGCATTCCTGACAAAGCTCTTCTCGAAGACTGTGCGCGCCACCTGGCTTCGTTTGGCCCACCACTGAAGGGAGCAGCAAAGCATAGCAGGTCTATTGGCAATAAATGGCGAGAGGTGTGTGTCTATATTGGGCTCAATTGTATTGCTAATTTTACTTTTAAGTGGCGCCGCCTCCATGATGACATACTGGCAGTCAAGCAAGGCCGCTATGTCGGCGCATCTGGGTTCTCGTACTCTGATGAGGGTGGGTTTGGTATAACGGATGAGAGCCGTGATGCCTGGGTGGCCTTTGTTGCTGCCCATCCCATCTTCAAAGAGTTTGCGACATCGGGGTGGCCTCATTGGAACAATATGCACAACGCTCTTCCAACACGTGTGCGGGGTCAATATGTGTTCAACGCAGCCCAGCCTCCCGCATCCACACCAGCTGCTCCTCCCGATGACGATGCTGCTCACTCACTGCTCGCACTTTCTCAGTCTCAGTCATCCGAGGGTGACAATCAAGATGAAGTCGACTCACAGCCCTTCTCTGACTGGTCTCAGACCAACTATGGTGACTCCCAGCCTTCGGAGGACAATGATGATGACGACACCCCGGCCCTTCCGCTAAATACTCGTCCCTCCAACTCGGCCCCTCCTCCATCCGCTCCAGCAACACCTGCCCCATCTACGGGTACTAAACGCCCAGCACCAACCGAGCCTAGTGTTCCCTGGAGCTCAACCAAACGTCACCGAACAACAGGGCCCGAAGCGATGCTGGCAATAGCAGATTCTGTTCGGGGAATGAACGACGCAGTTCTCCAGTGTTTTGGTCCAACAAAATCGTCTGCAGTCTCTCCTACCAAGCTCAAGGCTCGGGCTCGCCAACTTGCTCGGGAGGATGCTGGTGCCGGATTCATCTCAGATGACACTCGGGCGCAGCTATCTTTGCTGTTTGGTCAACGGCCTGACGCAGTGGATGCGTATGTTGATGAGGAATCACCTGAGGAACGTGCATCCATGGCTCGCCTTCTACTTACCGGCTCTACTTATGGTCCCCTTTTTTAATCTCTTACATGTTTCTCGTTCACCGGTTTTTGATATTTTGGTAGACACTTTTTAATTGTCAAATTAATTATTTAGTCCAGTGTTGGTAAAGGCATATCTAGGTCCATTAGCTCCTGAGCTCGCTCTCGAATGAGACGTTGATAGTCTGTCCACATTGCCTCAGCCAAAGTATTGCGGAAAGCCTCTGCACGGTTCTTTTCTGGTGCACCAACTCTCTCGGATGTTGAAAGACGTCCAAAGTCAACAGGATTTGGTCGGATACGCCCAGGAAAAGGATCACCCACTTGCTCATCAATTATCCAACGGTCAAGGTCACTTTTATCATGTTCCATGATAAAATTATGCACCGCACAAAGTGCAGGTGGGATTCGGGCTTGTATCTCCATATTGTAGTGGGGAGCATGCTGAAGAATTGTCCATCGGTGCTTGATAACCCCAAAAATCCGCTCTACAACATTGCGAGCAGTAGCGTGGCGGAGATTATACAGCTCTTTGGGATTTTTCGGACTGTATGATATGAGCAGAACCAAATACAAAGAATGATTGCTCACCGTAGATCTGCACGAGCCCATTCTGCAAGATGATAACGTACTTGACGATAAGGAACTAAAAGTGCATCGCAGATTCCAAAGCCCGCATCTGCAAGATAACGTTTGCCTGCAGGAATAGGAAAGTCTTGGAGGCGTGCTTTACTGTACATGGCAGCATCCGCAGCACACCCATCCCAGCCACCAGTGAAAAAGAGAAACCGCATATCAAAGGAGACAGCAGCAAGACAGTTCTGAGAGACACCTCCTTTACGGTTACGGCGCATTGTGAACATCTTCTGCTGATGGAGTGCAGGAAATATGTGTTCCGTCAATAGCTCCAAGTACATCTTGAAAAAATGGCCACCATTTAGGATTATCCCGAATTGCGGCGGGTGTCGGGTCATCAACACCCGGAAGGTGGACATAGGTTGTGTAGAACTCTTTGCCAGATAAGATGTCAAGAATCTTTCGAAAGTGTCTGGAAAGCAATCAAAAGTTATTAATAAACTATATAGTCAAATCATAATACCCACTCTGAAATGGTTGTGTGAGAGTGCTGAAAGCGCTCAGCAACATGGTCAATAGCTAGGCCAGTGACACATGTATAAAGAAAGATAGCCAGGGACTCGTCAAGCATGATTCTTGAATTATGGCTTTCCATGTGTCCCATTACCCGCAGTTGGAGAACCAAGGCCAAGAAGACATGACGGCGCATTCCCAGAGCAATATATATGCGCCCAGGATGGCCATTCAGTAGCTCATTGAGCCATGCCCGACCAGTGAGAGCAGAAGTGTGCATATCAGTTTTCAAATATTGGGGCTCAGCATAGAGCGCAACCCCAAGGACCACATACTGCAGCATGGCCATGACAAGGCATACAACCCATCGGGCTCGCTCTGCATGGGCTCTAGGGGGCGGGGGCATTGAGAAACGCGTTTACGGGCAGGCGTGATCGCGTCTGTCACTCGGGTCACGCTGTCGTGATGCATCAAATGTATTGTATCGTATCGTATTGTATCGTATCAACCGCTGCCGGAGTAGCTCTAAGTTACTCTAAGAAAGGTGCTCGACAGTTTGGACAAAAGCGGATGCATTTTATACCATCACTACTTCTTTCTACAACACCGGGACGCGGTGGTATGGTATGGTATAGTATGGTACAACAACCGACCGCCCGACTCGCCATCGCCACCGGAGGCAGCGACGAACACGGGTCATGTCGACGTCGTAACCGACGACAGGCACATGGGCTGTCGCCAACGGGGAAGCAGCGCGTCTTCTTCTGCTTCATAAGCTCGTAAAGGAGGGTCGTGAGGTCGTCACCACTGCCACCAATTAGACTGCCGTAGGGGCAGAGGGCGGAGACGGTGCAGTGGACGGACGGGCCGCAGTCTTGGGCGGCGATAGGGAGCGTGTGCGACGCGGAGAGGGCGGAGAGGCCTTGCGGAAAGTCTGAAGCATCGTCAGCTTAATGATCAAGAAGGATGATAAAGGAAGTGAAGGAAGGAGGGCAAATGTGATGAAGTACGTGGTGCCACGTCAGCTACCACAGTGAGGCAAAGTGATCATATGTAGAAAAAAGAGGAAAGACGACTAACATGACGGCTCATAATAAGCTTAGCCATACTTGCAGGTACCTCGGAAACGTAGATCGCTGGCACTATGAAGACCGTTCAGTGAGAGGGGGAAAATGCGAAGAGAGAGAAAACGCACAAGGGGCATCTACAGCGAGCTTGAGCACCCGTTCAGGACGGCGCACGTCTATCGCGGCTTTCTGTGGCCGGGGACGATGGACGACGGGCAGGGCGACGACCTCGATTGTCTCCTCTTGTTGCTGTTCTGTAGCCTTCTCGCTTGTTTGGCTGTGGCGGAAGAAGCCAAACGAGAGCACCCATTTCGGATGTGTCTGCTCATCGAGTTCGACGGCAAGCACGCGCTTCTCGTCAGCGGCGATGGCGGTGAAGCCAGCCTTAGCACGGACGAAAAGGGCGCGAAGTGCGAGAGTGGCGAATACAAGGAAAAAGAGGAGGGCGAGCGGGATGTGGAGGGGGACCGTGGAGAGCCAAGTCGGCTGTTGCCATTGGGGCCACTCCCAGTGCCATTCAGACGAGGAGACCGCTTCGAGTTGAGAGGCGGGCGCGAGGTCAGAGGGTAGGATGAACGGCATCTTCGGCTAGGTTGTGCTGGCTGGCTTGCTGGTGGACGAGCAAGGGGCAGTGAGCGCGAAGTGGGGAGGGAGACGAGCGACGGGGGCTAAGGCGACACACGGTCGTCTTGCCTGCATTATATACGTGTCGCCTTGGTAGTCGATGGATACATGTGATGTGACATCTGTTGATCCGGTTTCAGGTCTTCTCTTCAGTCCGTCCCAAGTCCGTCCAGAACCGGCGATTCTCCCTCCGCCCTGGGCGAGGTACACGTCCGTCCTCCTCGTTCCTTTCCGTCGCTGGCGGACGCTGCTACCCCTTGCACCTTGTCTCCGTCCCCCTCTTTGACCCATCATCCCGCCCAACCCTGTCCTTCTTGACCCACATGCTTGCTGTCAGCGGACCCTCTTCGGCAATCGGCTTCTGATGCCCGCAGTGACAACGCCGCGCCCGTCTGGACTGATCGTTGCCCGTTGCTCATTGCGCAACGTTCTTGGACAGAAGACGCTGACGACGCCCTGTTCCAGCCTGGAATACCGTCGTTGTTTCACGAGCTCACCAGTTTCCTGTGTCTTGTTTCCCAGCGCTCGTCCCTCATTCTGGGCCGGCGTCTCAGGATCCTCCACCAAACGCCTGCTCGGACACGATAAACGTGGGCTCTTCCCAGTTGTCCGCGTGAACATCCGCAGCCCCACTCGCATGCCGAGCAACCACCGACGTACTGGCGATTACGCGCGTTCTGGAGTTCCCGTGGTTTATCCTGGTGTCTTTCCGGTTGTGCGTCATATGTTTCCTGCATCAAACCAAGGACGCGGTTACACTGTCGAATGCAACCGGCCCGCTCGTGCTCCAAATGTGTCGGACCATCCAGTAGTACACCGTGATGATACATTGGGTACCGTTTTTGTTTCTATTGGGTCCATACTACATATAACTACTTGCCATCAAATTTGCTTGCATTGTGTCAGGTTAAAATAAGTATGCAGTGATTTCAGGGAATGAAGTATTGAGATCGCCATTTGCAAGTATCTGTAGACAAGAGATATTGGGAGTATCACTCTGAGATAAGATGTCAGCACATTAGATCCCATTTCTGATAGCCCACTAAAGTAGGATCTTAAATTCAAAGTGGACATCTTTGATCTGAAATCTGAACAAGACAATTGGGGCGTGGGCAGGGTAGATCCGAGTCCAGACAAAAGTGCCAGGTTGGAGCAGGCAAATCAACCTAGACAACAGATGTAAAAATGTCAAAGTTGACACAAAATCAGGTGCAAAAATACAAGAGGAGTTCAAAATTTGAATCATAGATATAAGGTCAGAAAGTTTTTCCATCCCTCTGGGCCTGCCCTCCCCCCTTCCTGCCACATAGGGTAATATCTGCCACAATCAGCATTATGTGTCCATTGATGCAATCAAAAGTGGCACAAAAAAAAAAAATTCAATGTTTGGAAACCTTTTTCTAAAAAATTATGTATCTGTATGTAGATGTATACCTGGAACCCTCAAAACACACACAGCAGGTCATAACAAGTCTTCAATATGTTCACCTGCTATCAATTATCTGACAATGGGCCTGTGACAGGTGCGATTTTTTTCCGCAGAGTCACACATTCTGTAAAGGGCAATTTTTATCCTTGTGACTCGGACACATCCTGCCTGACTTGTTATTGTGTAGAAAAAATCTCACTTTTAGGTATTAATTATATGCCATAAACTAAGGAAATAGATAGAAATATAATGTGATAATTGATTTGGGCTGTGGCCATATTGATATAGAGATGGTAGGCCAGGGCACTGTGCCCTATAGGTCTGGCAGAACCCACTGGTGTTTGAAGCATTCTGGAGTGCAACAATGGTTGATGCGGCCCACTGCCAAGCTCCAAGATGTGCTGAACCAGCTTTTGAAATGTTTTGAAAACGGGAAGTGTGATGGTATCAATGCACATGAGGCTGGTCGGTTGGTCCCCCCCAGTGGGCCTTAATTTTTTTTTTGTAGTTAATTTTTTTTCAGGCATTAATCGATAAATGCAAGGAGGTGTTTTCATAGGTTCTTAGTGTAATATGAGGCTGTATATAGAGTTCTCTGCATCTCATCAATGAACTTCTATATTTGGTGTGTATTGTCACATGTGTGACATGTGTGACATGTGTGACATTTGTGACCTGGTGCATCTCCAATTCACATATCTGGGTTCTGAACTGTGGACACAAGTCCAATCCCATAGCTATTTATAGCAGCCATAATGAGTGGCTAGACATAATACAACAGTTCATGGGCACTATTTCCACATGAGTCAATCACATGATCCTGTGAAACACCTGCCAAAATAGGCAATTGTCACGCATGTCACGGTCGGTCGGTCTGGTTGTAGATCCCCAAAATTTTTAGTGTATATGTTCCCTAATTTTTTCTTCCCTCCCCCTTGCTCTTATGCAAAAAAGGGGCAATTATAACCTTGTGAAAACATTGTCTCTGGGATAAAATTTCAGCAGAAGCAGCTTTTCCAGTTGCTTTTCGTACTTTTGCAAGGGCAACCCTGGAGACTCTGACGAAAGCCTAGCAGGGGAGGATCCAAAGCGTGAATAAAAGCTACGGAAATACACGGAGGGACTGACCTAGCAGGGGAGGATCCAAAGAGAAGAAACTCTAAGGGTCCGCCTGCTAGGGCGCCAACTATATACTGGTCGTCCGTAACTGCCGACGTAGAGCGTAGAGGGCCTGAGCGGGCGTTGCAGGTTCTGTCCCAAGGTGATCGTTGGGAGGGTCTTGACGGATCGGTGATTGTGCGGGCGAAGGAGGCCGAGGACGAGGGTCGGGGTAGGTTGGGGTGTCCAAGGGGGCGCTGGTCGGATGCACCTCGGATGCGCTCAGACAGTCCGAACACAGGAAAAATTTAAACCTTTCTTTTCCCACCAAAAGATGAATTTAATATAAACATTTTAATACTTCTTTCTATAGAGATAAAAAATTGTATATCTGAATTAGAATAAATAGTTGCTTTTCAAAGAATTGTGCCTTGTATGGAAAGGACCTGTTTCAGAAAAAACTGAAATGTCAATTGAAAGTTCATCTTTTCAATACAGATTTGTATACCTACTTCTTTGTAGCAGAAAGGAAATATTTTAATTTTTTCACAAAGAAGATATTTATATTTATCTTTTGATGTCAGTGAAAATAACATCTTTTTATTTTTTGCTGAAAGGATATCATTTGTTTCCCCTTTCATACAAGAACAAAGAGCATCATTCTGAAAAAGTCAGAAAGATGATGTTTCCTTACCCCTTTCATGTGATCAAAAAGCACACCCTTCTCTTTTTCTTGAAAGATGTTCTTTCTATCTGCTAACAAAGGTGCATATAAAGAAGACCTTTCTGAAAATAGCAGAAATGTTGTGTTTTATACCACAAATAAAGAGGAATATAGACCACATATTTCCGAAATGAGTGAAAATATATGCTTTATAGTACACAGAAAGGGGGTATTTAAAGCCATATGGAAAGGTTAGCTTTTCAATAACTTTGCCATCCCTGTCAAAGACCTTCTTTTTGTTCTTACAGAAAGCTTGATAAAGAATAGTCATTTATGAAACAATTAATATATCATATTTCTTGTTTGAGAAAACATATATCTAAATATGTACATTCAATACCTGTTTAAAAGGGAAAAGAAATTTGTGAATTTCTTGTGTGGAAGGAGGCCGAAGCAGGGGTTCCCCTGACAACTTTTAGCACTTTTCGAATGGAACCTGGACAAAAAATTGCCATTTTGCTATGTCTGATTCAAATCTAGACAAACAGAGTCAAGTGTGCAAGACAAATTTCAACTGCAATCATTTTCACAATTATTGCTCAGTAGGGACTTTCATGGGTCTGCTTCTGATATCTGATACTAGGACTAGGTGCCATGGATAAGACCTGGCCTGTCCACTCCGGGCGCTGGTGTTGGGCTATCGCGGGCCGCAACAGCATGTGACGACGGGGAACAGGCGCCCCAGTAGGAGGAACACACCCATGGGAAGCACATGACCAAGGATGACACGTTGAGCTGTTGCTGAGCCCAACTCGACACCAGGGGATTGGGAAGGAGTGCTATGTCACAGATAAGACCCAGCCTGTCCACTCTGGTGCTGGTATTAGGTCATTGCAGGCCTGTAACACACAGCACGTGCACACAGCACGTGACGACGGGGAACAGGCGCCCCAGTAGGAGGAATGCACATATGGGAAGTATGTGACCAATAACGATGTGTCAAGCCGTTGCCAAGCCCAATTCAACACCAAAAAATTGGGGAGGAGTGCTAGGAGGTTAGGAGTAGCACTTGACCTGCAAGGGATGTACGATCATCCCCTCTGCAGCCAGGAATGAGGGCGAGGAGAAGCAGGAGAGGCCAAGGGTGTCTGATCACCCCGCTGCAGGCCTGCATATATAAGGCACGATAGTGTACCCTCTACTTTATCACCTAGAGCATCTATAGTACCGCTTCTTTCTGTGCAAGGAGGTACCACTGTCTCATCATGCCCGAAATGACCTGATTCGAACTTCGACACCAACAGCAACAAGCGACCACAGTAACAGGCCCTTTCGGTTCAAATCTACCCCACTTGCTCCCGCTTGGGGCCCGATTGTCAGGGGAACCCCCGCTTCGGCCTCCTTTGGACCATCCAAACACATCCGAGGTGCATCCGACCTGTGCCCCTTGGACGCTCCGACCCACTCCGACCCTCGGCCTCGGCCTCCTTTGCCCGCACAATCACCGATCCGTCAAGACCCTCTATCTAAAATCCTGTCTCCAAACCAGGATGTCCTATACTATTTTGTTCAAGTCGGCCCAATCACCACTTTTTGATGAAACCAAAAGGCATGCAGAAAAATCTAAAAAATCAAGAAAAGATTATTCCCAGTGTTTCTGGAAATTGGGTGTGACTGTGACATGCTGAAATGGTGTAGTATTGATTTACTAAAAGGTGTCGGGGCAACCCCAGAAGCCTGAGATTAAGGTCCTTGCAGGGGAGGATCCAAAGAGAAGGTACTCTAAGTTTGGCAGAAACCCCAGGGTGAAGTTAGCTGCCAACTTTCCACATCAATATCACATGTTGATAGTCTTTTAAATATTAAATAAACAGTCATGTGCAAATATCACAGGCCCGCAGAATTGAATGAAATAGTACAGTAGGCAGGAGGGTGACTAACTTGAGAAATTATAAACTAAAGTCAAATGATTTTTGTACTTATCATCTATATATTCCTCAAATCAGATCGGAAACCCAATTTCAAGCGTTGGCTCATCGTGATTAGGCCGACGGCACCTGACATCATCACTCGTGATGATGATCTCGACGCCACTGGGTCACTTCTGTCCACCAAAGTTGCCAATATGGTACGCTGCAACGGCGGGCCCGGGGTTTCTCTCTCTCTCATTCAATCCTTACTGAGCACTTTTCAGGATTCAGATTATCCGTGGAGCTGATAAGTAAAGCTACCCAATGATCCGGTGGGAAATTCATTTACGCTGCGATCAACTTCGACTGATATCGATGGTTCTTGACTCTTGAGGTCTACCTCAACCTTCCGCCCTCGTCGCAGTCCGGGGCATGCATCGTCCAGTTCGTGCATCACGCCAACGGCGTTCAGGTACCAATCGTGGACCAAAATCTGTCGAAAGCGGAGAGACTATGCCCAATCGAGCGTTGATCTGCATGCAGTTTTTCTCTTGTCTGACGTTTGACATCGCAATCTATCCATTCTATTCACCGGCCTCTCACGACCGTCACCTCTGAACGCCCCCATCTTTCGCGCTTCTCATTCTTCCCCCTCCCTTCACCCCGCCCAGCTGGCCCATGCTCCTGGATTAGACGGACCACGACCATGCCCGCGCCGCAGTCCGTCACCGTCATCGCGGGCTACTTACGCACGGCGTCGCTTGCCGTTGGAGCCTACGAGTATGCGTTTCATTCTTATAGGCACAGACGTTGATGAGCTGAGCCATCGTAGCTATCTCCAGACGCTACCATTCGAGCTTCAAATATCCCTCGACGCGTTGCGTTCACACCACCTATCGTGGGCCCCTTCTCCATCGTTCTTTTCACCTGCTCAACAGCCCCACAGACTCACGCTCGCCCTTTTCATACTGATTCGGCACGTCCATACAGTACCTTCCCGCCGCCGGCTAATAATCGTAGGTACACGAGCATTCTGGCCTTGACCGTGAGCAACGTCGGATTCTTCAGCCACCACTTCTCGCGCGACATGTGCGAGCGCTTCTTTCGCTTTCCAGGCATATTCAAACGTGCGGCTCACCCTCCTTTTGACATTATCTCCACATCTAAACCTCCAACAGTTGTCCAGGCCATGGCGTGCCAGGCCATTCTCGGGGTCAGGTTCGTGTCTTCATTCAAATGCCTTGCCATAATCCTGACATGCGGGCAGAGCCTATAATCTCTCGCGCAAATCACCCACTGTTGGCTATCTCCTCGCGTGTGCCTATGTCGTATGCTGCACGGTGCGTCATATCTCTTCCTGGTGTCTTTCTGCTGACCTCGCGGCTCTCCCCAGTTCGAAGGGGTTACTACAATATATGGCCGACGGAGTAAGCACCGTTGCCGCTGCTCTTTTTATTTGATACTGACCACTGAACAGTGATGTACACTGAGCCTCTGGTGAGTTAATTGTTACTCGAATGTCTCGCTTCTTATCCGTTTGTAGGGCAAGTGCGTGAAGCAAATATCATCGGATGTTTATTCGCTGATCTCGATCTAGCTGTTCCTCTATCGGTCCCCATGGCCAACTCGGTGGCTGGGTCTACTATAACGTGGCATTCATCTACGATTTCGTTGTGACGATGACGAGCATCATCTACCTCCTCAAGCTCAAACCGACAGGCTCCTCTGTGTCTGTCCCATTTCTGCTTTTTTTTGGCTGGATACTAAACACAAACAGAATGTCAAGGGTTTCCCGAATGTCAGTCTTGTATTGCTTGTTTCACTAGCCGAGTCTCATCTCTCCTAGGATGCTTGTCGACGGACTAGGATATTTTTTGGTCCTTGCGCTCGCAAATCTTTCAAGCCTTGCATTCTATCGTACCACCGACATCAAGTTCTCTGGTACACCCGAAAATGCGGGCCAGTTACAGGTGCGTAGTCTGACTAGTATCGACACTTTTCATATACTAATGTGTGTTACAGACTGCTGTGTATGTGATGAGTTGTGACGTGTTTTCCCTCAAACATTGACTATCTTGCCTCTAGGGCTTCGCTGGGTTATTGTCTCCGCTGGGTAATGTCGCAGAAACTCATAATCCATCTCCACGGTGCGCTCTTCTCGATCACCGTTTATCTTCGCTGAATGTGCTCTATGTTTTCTAGAAGCGTCCGTTGCGCGTCGCGAAGACTCCATGAACAATATCGTCACCCGCGACGGCACTTATAACCCGCAATTCACGTCTGTCAAGACGGGTGGCTTTAGTCTCACCGTCCCGGACTTCGAATCCAGCGACGACCAGACGAGGCCGAGTGATGACACCAGGGCAAGCTCGGAGCGGCATGCGCAAGCGAGAGGGCGGCCGCAGCAGGAGCCTCAGTGGGAGGAGGAGGAGGACCACCAGGTCGAGGTGCGCATCGAGCGGACGATGCGGGCCGCGGATTCCTCGTTGTTAATGACAACGAGAAGTGTGCGGTGGGATCCGGGGCTGGAGGAACGAGAGCGAGATGATGATGAGAATGGGTCGAGACGGACACGGAGGTAGCGGTCATCAATCGCATGAGGGAGAGAAGCTAAGTTACTCTGTATTATATTTTTGTCTGTCGCTATCGTGTCCTCGCATTCTTTCTATTTTACGGATTCGCTTTTTGTACGCACTGTGGTCTTGCTTGAATTTTCGACTAGGGTTTGTGTGACAGGGTGTGGGAGCTGAATCAAGAAAGGGTCTTCTTTGCTTCCCGTCTTCCATGAGCAGCAAAGTGTACAAGGCGACAAACTCTGCTATCGTCCTCCCAGAACTGTTCGATGTCATTGCGCAGCACTCATCTCCGGCTGCTTTGGCCTCCCTCTGTATTGTTTCGCGTGCGATGAAAGCTATCGCCGAGCGCACCAGCTTTACCACCAAGGCGCCGCCAACATTCCACACACATTGGGACTTGTTCGAATCGCTATGAATTGGAAAGCAAGAATTATTGAAGTGCTTGTCTATAGATCTGATCAAATTGTACAGTCAAGGTACAAAGAAATTACCTCAACAGACGAGCGGTCAGACATTCCACGGCTTTCGAACGTGCGTTCACACCAAATTCAGTACTGGTGGTAGACCCCTACACTTATCCTTCAAGTACACCCAAAATGGTATCATTATGTATGTTGACTCGAACTAATTGCGATATAATCAATGATCTTAGGAAAGGTTTTTTGTAAGGGCCTTGAGAATGAGCACGCAACCACAAGCGTCTTGCCATCGCTCGAGGGCCTTAGATTGGGCAAACAGTGATGCACTACGACATAGCACATAATATTTCTCTCCAATGACGAGATGGCGACAAATTGCGGTACCCGCAAAGGCCCTCGTGTCTACCAGTAGTATTTAGGCCGCTTCACAGTTGCGGGAACCGTCTACATTTTCGCCGTATCACAGTACTTGAATGTCTGTATCGCTACCAACACATCCACTTCCCCCACTGGCCAGAGTCATCAGTCATCAACACTCAGCGAGCGAGCAGACACTCGGCCGAGCACTCGTAACAGGGTTCCTCAGTGTGCCCAGCGGTGGTATACTGATCTCCACAACATCTCCGTCCTTGAGCCAAACCGGGGGCGCCATGCCCATCCCAACCCCGACCGGCGTGCCCGTCGCAATGACATCGCCCGGCTGGATCGAGATGCCCAGCGATGCGGTCGCGATGAGTGTCGGGACATCGAAGATGAGCTCCGACGTGTTCTGCGACTGTCGCACTTCGCCGTTGACTCTAGTCGTGAGGTGGAGGTCGGGAAATGAGAGCGAAGATGAGGGGACGAGGTACGGGCCCTAGCGAGTCGAGTTCAGCTTGCACACAGCAAGAAACAGTAAACACACCATTGGACAAAAGGTGTCCAGACTCTTCCCGATGAAAAACTGCTTGTGGTCGCGTTGTCGCTCCCTCGCAGTAACATCATTCACAATGACGGCTCCCCAGACATGCTCCCAAGCCTTCTCCCTTGGTACGCCCAATCCGGCCTTGCCTAACACTATTCCCAACTCGCCCTCGTAGTCGGGGCTCTGCGTGACATCCGGGTGGGTGTAAATCGGGGTGTTCGTCGCGACGATGCTCGTCGCGCGTTTGGTGAAGAAGACGGGAAAGTCCGGCTGCTCGTTCTTGTCGGAGCTGTCGAAACCGCTCTTGTGGAATTCGGCTGCATGAGCTTTGTAGTTTTTGCCAATGCATCTAGTCTTGCATGAGCGCGATGACCAAGGTGGCGAAGACGACTCACAGGATGTCCCTCCCCGGCAACGGCGCCAGCACCTCCACGGCTTGCAGCTCAGTGACGTCCCAAGTGGAGAACTTGTGGTCGCCACAGAGGTTGGGATGCTTCTCGATAAGGTCAAAGAGATTCGTGTAGCCCAAAATTTCAGCAACACGTGTCTCTTCTTCGTCGACCAATCCGATCTTTGCAGGGCCGCCAGGCGCTGCCCTATACCGGACGAAGCGGTGGCGAACGGGTACAGGCGTCATGAAGGTGAAGATAGAGTCTGGAGAAGATTCTCATGGGAGGCGGAGGACCATTTTTGATTTTGATGGTACAGTAAGTACCGTGACGGGCTTTCTCTGCAGAGCTCTGCAGTGCTTACAAAAAGACTCCAACAACACCAAATAAAAACAGCAGTCGACGTTCTGCTCGTCCGTCATCACCCTATCCACACTATCTGTTGGACGATGACGCTGTCGACCAAATCTAATCACTTATCTTATCATACATTCCATCACACTCGATCATACTGAACTGGAACCTGGACGACGGGAGAGGCTCCTGAGCTCTCTCTCGTCGTACCAGGTATGACCCTATTTCACCTACTATCTACATCTACTTACCTGAGCTCTCTCTCGTCGTACCAGACAATATATCTTGCTCGTTCACAGGTTATGGGCCCCGCGTGAAATCTGTGCAGCGAAGAAGATAGTATTCAAGCAATAACCAAAACTCCTAAAGTCAACTCGCATCGCAACCTACTCGACTCGCCAATCTCTCTACCCCAGTCGCCCACACAATCGCATAGCATCCAGAAGCTCCAACAGCACACATACGTCGAAGTCTATTCAGAATGTCTTCATCTGACAACGAAAAGGAGTGGAGAAACCTTAAACTCACCACCATTGTTGAAGCCGCAGATGGCAGCAACAATTATGCCGAATTCCGAACGAAAGCCATGCGTAAACTCGATGCGGCTGGATACTGGAAGTATATCGATGGCGACGAATACACCCCTCCTGTAATTCCAACGCTCATCGAGAGCCAGACATACTCTGGTGTCGACAACGCTGGCAACATGACTACAATCACCACGCAAGGGAATGAAGTCGCAGTTAATGTTGCGAAGAAAGCTGCAGAGGCCTGGCTTGTCCAAGACAAAAAGGCATTGTCGACAATAACTGACGCTGTTCCTATGGCGAAACTCTACGTCGTCAACGACTGCAACTCAGCGCGTCAGGCCTGGTTCGCGTTGAGAGACGCTTACGAACCTACTAATACCCTGACGGCTGTTACCCTGAAAGGGCAGATAACGTCGCTCTTGTGTGGGACAGGGAATCCAGTCGCGTGGAGAGTTACCATGCTCCAGAAATACCAGAAGCTCCGCAGAGCCGACCCAGACATGATGCCAGATAGCGAGTTCACAAAGTGCTTGGTGACGAACATGGCGCAGACCGAGAAGTGGCGATATTGCAGAGATTCGTTGCTCCAAGAGATGACCCTGGCAGAAAAGTCCGGCAAACCTCTGAGTTCCGCAGAAGTTGTAGCCAGATTGCAGCAAGAGGAGGCATTCAAAGGACTGGGAGCTGATGCCTCGAACTCGTCCACGACAGCGAATACAGACAGCGAAGCAGTCGCTAGTGCATCGTTAGCCCAAACAAATCATCAACAGAGACGCTTTCAGCAACGAACTCACCAGCGAAACGAGCATCGTGCGGCTCCTTACGATCGACGATACGCAAATGCACCACCGAATAATATTCCCCACCGTGACCGCGAACGTTTGTTTTGCGAAAACGTAGAATGCGCAACGCCAATAGGGCATTCCCAAGCGGACTGTTTTGCTTATAAAGGCGGAAAGGAAGGTCAGTATCCTGACACATATAAAGGGTCAAGGATTGTGCACCTTCCACCCGCCGAACGCATAGCCGCTTCCAGACGCCAAGCTCGACAAAATCTTCACAGAGGAGGAGCCCGTTTTGCAGGCATGGCGGAATTTGTGGACGATGATGAGGAGGAGGATGTTTTCGAAATTGTGGGGAACGAGACCATAACAGCTGGTTTTGCGTTCATGATGGGAGCTATGGAGGTGGAAGATGAAGAAGACGAAGGGGATATCTGGGTCAATGCAGTCAACGTCGGCCCAACTGAAGAAATGACACGCACCGAAAACGTCTACCACGACACTGGAGCCTCCCGACACGTCTTCAATAATGTAGCGTCCTTCCAAGGCTACAAGCGATTCAGGAACCCAGTTAATGTCCATGGCTTTGGAGCAGATCTGACTAACGCGTTAGGAAAGGGAACCATATTCCTCGAAGGGACTCACCAAGGCGATGCAAGCTTCTCCCTCAGCAATGCCCTCCATATTCCAACCGCTCGATGCAACCTGATTTCAGGCACGCAGCTTGACTTGAAGGGTGTGCAAACGGAAACGGGGGGGGGCCGCATTGATTACTTCAACGCTGAGGGGCTTCCGTTCGCGTCTGGAGAGATACTATGATAGGCGTTGTAATGAAAAATGGCACCTGTAATGAAAAATCCGCGATAAAATTCGCATTTCTTAATGGATAAGAGTCAGAAGTGGCGGATTCTCTTCTGACCACTCTCGCGCATCGTATTGTGCAAAAAAAATATTTAAGTTTGAGCAAGGACTCGTTGAGCTCTGGTATCCGCTCCATCACACCAGCTGTCCAACGTGGAAACATGATTATCGCGGGCCAGATTCTGCACAGAATCAGCCCGGCTCCAGCATATGTATATGTTGCATGTATTCAAGGAGGTCTGCGAAGAAATCTGGGTCAAATATGGGCGGGAAGCTGAAATACTGACCTTTCAGGTTTAGTGTCACTGTAGGTCACGCTGCGGCATCTGGCGCCGGTAAGCGAGGGACGGCAGCCATTCGGCGCATCGCTTAAGCCTCAGACTCGGACCGTCATGTCTGATGACGATCCTGCTCGGGGCTCCACTCCCTTCTCATCTCCCATCCAACTTGAGTACGAGCCGTCACAGTTACACGACGAGATTCGCCGCGAACGGGAGGCTCTGCTCTCTCCCATCACCCTCGAAAAGCAGCGCCGCGCGCGCCACCTCCAGCGAGTCCGCAAGGGCTACTCACCTCCTTCCTCGCCCTCCAGAACACCACGTTCTAGCGCAAAGCGGTGTCAGGCAACATTCAGGTATGTTGTCTGCTTATCTTTTTGGCATGAAGTAACGGAAATAGTCCATACTACAGATATGGCGGCGCATTAAACTCTCAAACAGGCGACCAAACCTTTGTCGACAATCTCCTGGGCTTTAAATCTGAATCCTCGCCTGTGGTATCACCTCAAAAGCCCCCTCCAGGTGTGTGGATAGTCATATCAACCAGACCACTTATTCCTGCAGAAGCAGTCTTCAAGCTTGAAGTCGAATCACCAGTGTTCAGTCAAGAGGCCATCGACGAGACACAATATACGGAAGATGACCACGACCTCCCCACACAGCTTGACCTACTCCGGTCTCGACTTATCGCTGTTGTCAACGAACGAGATGCGCTACGTGATATGGTGTCCCAGCTGAACGACGAACGTGACAAGATGCAACGGGAGAAGGAGAAATTAACGGAGGAGAGGGACAAGTACAAGCAGTCAGTGCGGCAATGGGAAGAGGCTGCAAGGTCGTCGTCTCCACTGTTTCGTCTTATGTATCCGCTGTTAAATTCCGGTGGCTAATTATGATTCAAAATTATAATAATCTGGTATGCTAGAGTTATACAGTGAGTGATTATACAACAAAGATGAGGTGTCAGGTGGATAATAAGAGTAATCCGTAAATGAAGATGCAGTAGCAAGTGTATTTGTGTCATTATATGCAAGGTGTGAGGATGAATTGAAGCGAGGGAGAAAGTCTGACTCGGGGATCATATGTGGAAGGATTTCGGGTTGCGATGATGGACCAGCAATGGCTGAAATGTCAGTGGGAGGTGACTGTAAGTAGTTCGGTGGTGTTATGTCAGCGAGGGGTGGTCGTGAAATTCGAGGGGTTGGCGGAGCCAGTGTATTGGCCACTGGTGCTGGTGGACGAGCACGACCAGGACCCAGAGTAAGTGCAATAAATCGTTCGTTTTGCCAGAGAGCAGGATCCTGCTCCAGACAATCCGCAATTCGCACAACAAGATCTTTGTTTGTGCCGTCAGTCGATAGCTGGAGCGCACGGGCAAGTAACTTGAGGTCGGATTTGTTCCTCGATGCAACTGCCCCACGGAAAACCATTGAGTCAGCATTAGCTTCTCGGAATTGCGTCTCCTCTCGCTCCTTTGCCTGACGCTCCTGTTCCTTCCGTTGCTTCTCGGCTTCCTTCTCTTGTGTCTGTTTCTCTTTTTCCGCCGCCAGCCGAAGACCCTCGGTCGAAGTTAGAGTTCGTGCCTCGACGTTGAGCTTGGGCCGGGCTGACTTCCGGCCTTCTTTGGCATTCAGCCTATTCTTCAGGTGGGCAATCTCTGATCCAGCCAGTGAAGCATGTGCGGCGTAATAGTCGATTTGTCGTTCAAGGCTCGACACATACTCTCTCGTAAGCTTTGCCCGTTTTGCTGGCGGTGCTTGGATGAAGTCTGCGCTAGCTGTTCGGGTAAGTCGACGTGTAGGACAGGGAGTCTGCAATGGAGTTGAGCTGGGTGTTGAATTGAGAGAGGGAAGGTGAATCGGTGGTGTATGGCGGGCCATGTTCGGAAGAAGGAAGTGAATTGGGTCAATGTTCTCTTGGTTCTCGAACGGAAATGGGGGAAGAGGTGGTGGCCAGATTTTCGTCATCTTCAATGTCAGAGTCGGAATCATTGCCTTCTTCTTCAAGCTCTGGCTGGATAGCAACACGAAGCGCATTGACGTTAAAGCAAGCAGGAAGACGGTCCTGAGCCTGGTTTGACTGGAGTGCTGCCCGAATGGCATTAACGGGGTAGGTGGCGGGGAAGCCATTGGCGTCTGTTGAGAATGATACACTCGGAGCGAAATCCGCGTCGGAAAAGACTCCATAATTGACGGGCCATGCGCCGCTCGAACGCCACGCGGACTGGATCGTTGACCGTTTGAACGATTGAGCCCGCACTTGCATATAGTGGTACACCAACTCCTCCTTTGGAATCTCTGCCTCGTTATGCTCAGCCATATAGTTGTCGCAGTGGTTGATCCATTCTCTCTGAAACGGACCAAAGACGCCAACATCCAGGGGTTGAAGCTTGTGAGTCGTATGAGGCGGTAGGCAGAGCAAAATAACATTGTTTTCGCGTGCATACTTGATTATTGGCAGCGTGTCGTGCGACCCATGTCCATCGTAGATAAGAAGGATTTTTTTGCCGGACTTGTTACGCGCGGTTGCTTGCGGGACAAAGTTCTTCTCAAGCCATTCGCTTCCCAGAACGTTGTCAGTCCACCCGTTTTCAGACATAGACACACTACGAGTATGTCAGTAAACAACCAAGAAAGTCGGGTTAAAACATACGTTATACCCGGGTTATCCTCTGTGAACCACTCCGGACAGAATTCCTTCCCAGGGAAAACAAACCCCGGGGCCAGTGCCGTGCCATCGGCGGACACGCATTCGATAATGGTAACAAGCTCGAGGTTACCGCTTCGAAAGCGGTATGTTGTTCGGACATTCTGCTTCGCCGCCATGAAGTACTTCTTGGAGCTGTTCTTCTTCCCCCCACCCCGTTGGATCCCCTTCTCGTCCATATTGTAGATGTTCTCCACCGGAATGTCGTGGTCCTTGATTAGCTGCTGAAGCAGCGCAAAATAGCGGCTAACAACAGGCCGATTGAATGCGCGCGCACGGCGTGGGTCCAAGCCATAAGCCTTTCCCAGGCGAAGCTCCGGATGTCGTTCGAGGAAGGCGCGAATCCAGGTTTTGCTTGGACGGCGCCCAATCATGTCCTTGACCAAGGCTCGGATGGCGCATTTGTCGACAGGATGCCCGGTAGCAGCGAGAAAAAGGATCCACTCCACCAGAGCGGCCTCCTGAGATGGCTGAAGGAGTTGCTGAAGCTCGTGCTTCTCGGCGCGGGACACAGTGATGCCTAAGAAGCGATTTCGCAGCGTCGACATGCTGACTCCCAGTGTGTTTGCAACCTGAGTGACATTCGGCTTGAGCATTGAATGCAGCCATTTGACGCCTTTCTGAATACGCGTCTCGTAATCGTCGTCTGCTGTCGCTGAACGGGCATTGTCGAAATGCATCAGCAGCTGCGAGAAAAGAAGTCTGGTCGCCGTGATCGTGCCAGCGCTGCAGCACGTGAGGCTGGCGCCGCATCGGCATGTCAGCTAAGCGAGCGGACTTTAATACTGTCACGCTCATATTCGGCAGGTCAGTATTTCAGCTTCCCGCCCATATTTGACCCAGATTTCTTCGCAGACCTCCTTGAATACATGCAACATATACATATGCTGGAGCCGGGCTGATTCTGTGCAGAATCTGGCCCGCGATAATCATGTTTCCACGTTGGACAGCTGGTGTGATGGAGCGGATACCAGAGCTCAACGAGTCCTTGCTCAAACTTAAATATTTTTTTTGCACAATACGATGCGCGAGAGTGGTCAGAAGAGAATCCGCCACTTCTGACTCTTATCCATTAAGAAATGCGAATTTTATCGCGGATTTTTCATTACAGGTGCCATTTTTCATTACAACGCCTATCATAGTAGTGGGAGGACTATACAAGATGGACGTCAAAATCATCCCGAGTGATGAAATCACCACGGAAGCAAATTTGGCCCAAAATCTCAGCAACTCCGAGTCGACAGATATTTCCGCGGAAACTAATTTTGGTGCAGATCTCATCAACGCGACAACGTCATCGGTCGTGGCTGTCCTTGGAATCGATGCTGACGAGGCTGCATCCAAGCAACAGGTTTTTTCCACCGTCTAATGGGGCACTTAGACGTTAAAGGCCTCAAGAGCGCCACCCGCGGTCTGCCAGAGACTGTGGACTCTGTCAAAGTCAAGAATTGCCGAGTTTGTGCTTTAGCCAATATTAAACGACTGAAATTCCCCTCAAAGGTCTCGACACGCGCTGTGTCACGGTTCGGGTCGGGCCGTCCGGGCCGTAAGGCCGCACGGGCCCGAACGGGCCCGCACGGGCCCGTATACCGCCGTCCTCCTGGACGCCCCCTCATTCTTCCAACCCCTTCCGTTCACCCCTACGACCCTGCGCAGCGCCCATCCGATCCGCCCTGGGGCCTAGCGCCCATCCGATCCATCCCTAATACCGTAGCGTATAAAAGTCGCACTTGCAAGATGTAGTCGCTAGGCTAATATCGTCTATTCTCCGGGCGAATACCCATCTCTCGTGCTCCTCAGACCTCTCCGAAGTCGGACCCCCGACGCCCGATACGGCCCGAGCCCGACGCTGACAGAATATTAGCCTCCCCACGAACGCAAGAAGCGCGACAAATGTCTACCGAGCACGACAGTACGATGGGCACCCCCCCAAGCCAGGGGGACGAACGTGCCCGATTCATGGCCCTGGGCCATAGCGAACAACAGGAGTTCCTGTTCGCCCATCTGTTCCGAACGAGTCAGGAGATGGAGCAACTCAAGGCGGAAAACACCGCCCTGACGAATCGACAAGTGGTCCTCGAGGCCGAGCTGTCCCGAGTAAACGGGGAATACGCAGCTGTACAGCAGGGAGTCATGCAGAGTTACGATCTGCTCCGCCAAGCCAGAGAGGACTTGGCTCATCGGCCCCACGGGGGAAACACACGAGTGACCGTCTCTCCCCCTAAGGAGTTCACGGGCGACGCCAGCGAAGTAGACGCCTTCCTGGCCGATTGTTGGTTGGCCTTCAAGCCAACCCGAATGTTTATAACGACGAGGTACGAAAGATTTCGTACGCACTCTCCTACATCAAAGGAGGGAACGCGGTCACGTGGAAGGAAAACGTCTCCCAAGCCATGAAGCTCCGTACCGCCGCAGCTTATACTACGTACGAAGGCTTCGAGAAAGCCTTCATCGCGGCCTTCCGGGGGAAGCTCACGCCGAAATCGCGCAGCAGAAGATGGAAACCTTCGTCCAGACCAAAGACATGGACGCAACTAGTTATTTCACGGTCCTCGACTCTCTCAACAAAGTCGCGCACTACGACGACGTCAACCTTATTCGCGTTGCCAAGAACTGTATGCTCCGGGGCGTTACGAACGCGGTCTACCGAAAGGACACGCTCCCGACACCTACGAGGCCTGGAAGGCAGAGGCCATCAAGCAGGACGGCGCACTCCGCCCGTTACCGCATTTTCGACGAAAGCCACAAGGTTAACCACCCTCGGGCCAAAACGCCCCGACGGCCCCCCCCCGCCAAGAGCGGGCTCAGCAACCGCAACCCGTTCAACGGGTGGGCCCAAACGCAGCAATCAGCGCCGCCGGACCGGCCGTGGCCGCACCCCGAGGAAACGGGCAACCACGGTCGCCGGACCTTCGACGGGGCCCGCACCTATGGAGATCGACCGGGCCCAGGCCCCCGCTACGGCCCGCAGCACTCGCTGCTACAACTGCGGCCAGGAAGGGCACATCAGTCGGATGTGCCCGAACCGGGCCGCATCGGCAAACCAGATCCGGGCTATCTTCTCCGAGTTTGTCAAGGATAACGCGGATAAAGCGGATTTTGGCGATCGTCGCGAGTGAAACCTACGCCCTCGCCGACGTATACCACAAGTGTCTCTAGTTACAACCCGCATAATCGATATTCC